TATTACAATAGAATACATATAAAAGTCTAGATTTAAATCCTTAATAACTTTTAAGGCATGAAATAAAAAACCTTTTCTTTGAACTGAAATCGGATTAAAGTTTATTTAAATTATTTTAAATGCTTTAGAGATATTCTGCCCTGTACTCATTGCCAGACATTTTGCATTTGAGATTAACTCTTTATTATGAAATAAAATTAGCAAGAAAACAATAAAACTGAAACTCTCCGATAATTATTGTCTAAACAAATTGATTCACTTTTTTGTGTGTTAAGCACAGAATTCACAGAATATTAACAAAAAGCAGAATATCTAATATAAAATTATTACAAAGATGTTTGCAAAATAAAACTACAGTAATGTGAGAATATATTAGCATAGGATGGCATCAAATCAAATAAAGTACTCTATTATTTAAATTTGTTTTTGAAAGAAAACTAAAATACAAAACACACACCAAAATCAAGTGCAGTGTATGTTTTGGTATGCCTACGAAATGTGGTCCCAGAATATTCGGAATTTTACTGTTAAAACTGTTTTTGGTTCACATGCCAACTCTTATTACAAATCATACAAACCCCATTCCAAATACACTATGAGTTACAACAAAACCAACACTAATATAGATTAGTTTTCGGTTGACTCTTTGAATGAAAAATGCAAAAAATACTGAAATAAGAAAAATCAAATCAAATTGAATTGAGTTCAGCTCTCATGTAAAGAAATGTTAGCCTTTTTTGTTACTTTATTCGCTGCCATTCACTGCATTATATCTGCTTTAATATTATTATTATTATTGTTATTATATATAAAATTTTTCGGGGAATAATATATTTTTATTTTTATGTTGTTTCGGGTTTGGGTTATAAGTTAGTAGTTTTTGTGCACTATTTATTCAATACAGTCAAAACTCGTTGCAATCGTAAATATTGTACATTGCAAATGAATCGTGACATTAAATTGTTTTTATCATTAGTTCATTAATACCAATGCAATAAACATAAGAACTAATGGAAAATATCATTCAATGCTTGACTGTAAATGTATTTGTAATGCAGTATTACAATAAAAATGGATTAATGCAACTAGGTGTCGTTTATTATTTTAATAAACCCCCTGGATAACAACTAAATAAATAAAAGTGCATCAAATCTAATTTTAATATATATTCTTGAAGGTTATAAATTTATATCTAGATCGTTTACCCACGAAAAAAGCAATTTCTTACAAAATAAACACATTTCTAGTGTGTTGGCTGGGAAGTGAGTTTTTTTAAACATAATATATTATTATGAGTGTTTGGGTTAACAGAATAACAAAGAATTTTTATGGTTAAACATGTGAAAAAACTGGTGAAAATTGACTTTTTAAATAGGATTCTGTGGTAAATGGAAAATATTGTTATTCTAATGGTCGACAATACATGTGCGGAATGTGTTACAGTGTAAGTGTATATATTCTGTATGTTATTCTGTATATTCTATTTGTATGGTATGGTGTAAGTGGTTGTGTTGGCGTAATGGTCGTGTGGTTATGATATGGTATATAAGGTAGTCTGAGGGCCATTACCTGCGTTAACATCGGCCTGTATAACAGTTTTACTGCGCTCTACTCCGTGCTGTTGTATTGAACAGTCTGTTCATGAAGAGGACGTTTTGACCGCAATTATCAATATGTTTGGCACAACAACAACAACAACAA